CCAATCCTCTCGTGGAATTATCCCAACATACTACCGATGAATCTGTAGCGAGAGATTCAATGATGGAGATACGTTTGCGCTCTCCTCCGGACACACCGCGGATATACTCGTTTCCCACCAATGTGTTCATAGTATGCGACATACCAAACACCCGCCCATAGATCTCCAGGTACCGGGGAATCCTCTCCCGGTAGCGTTTGGGGGTCTTACTCTGCAGTGCAAACTCGAGCGTTTGGCGCACTGTTAGAGTCGGGAAATGCACATCGTCCTCTGGGACGTAGGCCACAGCGCCACGGTAGTGCTTCCCGACTTCGTCCGGGCTGAGACCGGAGTAATCGATTGAGCCCGTGACACCCAGAAAAGAAGAGTGGTGACCAGCGATAGTTCGGAGAAAGGTCGAGCAGCCGGCACCCGGACGCCCCAGAACGCTATATATTTCAATTAGGCTAAATTCGGTAAAGATGAGTTGGGGTTGATTTCCTGCTTACAGCATTATCTCCCCGCTCTGCACGACGCCGGAAAAGTCCCGGATCAGCGGACGGCCATCCTCGGGCTTCTTCTTTGCGATCCATGGCTGGATCGTCCACTCGTAGATATCCTGTAGGGTGAGGGTACGCCACAGAGCTGTAGCGAAGGTCTTTACATCTGCGTGGGAGTCCCCGTCGCCCCAAGTTGAGAGAGATTGGAAACAGACGCCGAGGTTGGCTGGTTTCTTGCTCTGGACTTGTTCCTCGAGGAACTTGTCGAAGGAGGAATGCGGTTCTGGATACTTGGGATCCGGGTGAGCTTGGGCGGTTAGTGTGTGATGGATATCGGCGAGGGCATCCTCGTCTTCGTGCGAGACTTGAACTCTCGGAGGTTCATCGTTGTGTTTTTCCGTAGCAAAGGAAGAGCTATGCTTGAGGTGGGGGTGAAGAGGAGCGGGCATAATGAGCCTTTAGGTTCAAGAAAATCCTGAAGTCATTGTACTACAGATGAAGAAATTGTAAGATCTCGATTTATATTTATAGAGAATGAGAGTAAGAATTCAGTCAGGCGAAAAAAAATGTATGACCAAGTGTCCGAAAGAACAGCCAAGGCTCATTATGATGACCGTGGAAATGACCAACCAATCCGGTGGGCGATGAAAAGGCAGAATCATCGAGAGATTCCTGATGGGCCCGGGATGATATCCAATGACAGGGAAAAAGTGGGTGTGATGAAAGGCTTTCTTTCGTCACTTTCACCACTTTTGGCAGCTCTCTTGAGAAGGGCTCGAATATAAGAAGTGTCAAAAACTCCACTGAGCGGAGCCCGCGGCCACCGCGCGATTGTTTTGCAGAAAAAGGAAGCCAAGACGAGAAAGGGTCCACTGGAACCAGGGAAATGATCATTTTTATACGGAATAGCGGTTAACTCGTTAGCCATATAATTATATAGACTATTTACATATGTAGCCTAGTGAGGTCGATATGGTCTAGAGCTTTCAGATAATTCTATAAAATTCTATACAATCCTACGGAGTATACAATCTAGATATAAAAGATAAGATACTCCTGTAGTATTCTGTAGTCCCTAATCTGATCATCCAGGGCCCGTGTACTAGGTATACTTGTCATATTATAACTCCTACATGGTCATACACCGCCAGTCCAGTGCAGTTCAATGCAGTTCAATGCAGTTAGATGCTGGGCAGTGTCACTCCCCGCAATTTGACTGAAAATGACACCCGGGGCTCTTTTCTTTTCTGCACCGGAGAATTTCTCACGTGGGTGATTACTAATATATGCATTGATGCCTCAGATGTTTATGATAGCTTCGCCAAAAATACAAAGTATCTGCGATGATACTCAATATTCTACCGACGATACAGAGTAATCAAATAGAAGATTACAGAAGATCGATGTCAGCCTGAATAAAAACCATACCAATATCAGTACAATATCAACCTCTCCCATCTCCAAAATCATCTTCCCATTCCCACTCCCAATCCGGTTTAGCTCCCCCCAAGCTCCAATCTCCAAGCTCCGAGCTCCAGCGTCAACTTCGTCTCCCTCTCTCCCTTCTTCCCCTCCCAAAAAATGCAAACCCTCTACAACGCTCTAATCCGCACCCACCACATAACCTCCCGCAAAAAGGTAGCCGCCCTCAAACGCGCCGCAGACACACACCAATGCGCCGTGCTCCTGCGGTCCGGCGGGTGTCCGGGGATCATGTACGTGGAGGGCGGGAAGGAGCCGGTGGAGAGCTGGGTGGATGTTGTGCGTCGGCTAAGATATAAGGATTTTCAGTTGGTTACGAGGCCGGGCGTTGTGGAAGAGGAGGATGGACGTGAGAAACAGGGGACTGGGAACGGGAACGGGAATGGAAAGACGAAAGACGGGAAAGAATTGAATCTCGCGCTGGGACTGGATGAGGTGGAAAGTGTTAAGGAGTTTGGGGGCATTATGGCGAGGAGGGGGGTTTGGAATTGGTGGAGGAGGGGGATGGGGTATGCTTAGACGTCTTCATGATGTTGCATTTGAGGTGTTTTGGTGTTCTGTATTACTCTGAGATATCCAGTTGAATTTGATTTCTGATAATACAGTCTTGAAGTCCATCGTCAAGTCATTCATGTCTTCTCTTTACAGAGCTAATATCCTAAACGCCATAATCTACCTATGCTATGTACATATCTATACAATTAATCGAAGTGTTTCCACCTCAAATCGGCGCCGGATAACTGAGCAGCTTGCAGATATCCTACATAGTTAGCGACCAGCCAATTCTTCCCCATCCCTATAGACAGACATACCTTTCGTTGTCTCCGGTATTTATCATATAGCATCTTCCAAATCTCCCGATCCCGACATCCACTCTCCTGCGGCGTGCCAGGGTTATTATCGCACTTCGGCTGCTCTGCCGCCAACATTTCCTGCGGCCACATAATCCACGGCTTCGGCAACGGCCAATCGGAGAAGTGTACGAACTTAGCCTGTGCCAGGACATGATCGGGATCCCAGACCTCATCATCATTCCCCAGGAAATTGCGATGATCCTTCGTCCGGAACTCACCGCTCAACAGACCATACTGCCGATGGGGGAGGACCATCGCCGAGTCCCCGTACCGTCTATTCAACAGCTCCATATCATACCGGTGGTCGGTCAGGTTCATATCGACTTGACCATTCTGGGCGAGTGTAGTAGCGTCGGTCAAGGCAAGGTATTCGCGAAGGGAGGGCTCAATGACGACTAATAGTGAGGAGAGCAGTTTGTCCGGGAGAAGCCAGTAAGCACGTGGCATGGCGACAGTGGTAGGCGGGAGGAAGAAGAGCTCGTCCATTGTCTGGAGGAGAAGAACGTCCGAGTCGAGGTGAATGACGCGGTCGTATTCGTGCTCGCCGAAGGCCATAAGCTTGGCGGTACTTGTATCCCACGAAGCCCTGGAACCGGCGGCTATGAAACGAGTGACATGTAAGTAGGTGTGTCCAAGAGGTCCCAACAGCGGCAGCCCAACTCACCCGATGGATCCTGAACCCCCTCAATCTTAATCGGGATCAGCATCACATTGTACTTGTGTTTAGCCTCAAGTAGCAACTGGCTGACGCGATCAAAATCATCCTCAACAACGAGGTCCCACTCCTCCGGGTAAAACAGCACACGGTCCGCCTTGCTGCCTAGTCTGTGCAGAGCCTCGAAGACCATCAGGCAATTACACATATAGACTTCGTTAGTTGCATACTGGGTATAGGCAAAGCGCGACCAGTCGACCTCGTCGTAGTGAATATGTGGTAGGGGCGGCGGCGGGGGACGTTCGCGGCGTTGCCACAGGATAAACAGTACGATAAGGGCGACTGCAACCCATGTTCGGACGTGTCGTAGCTGTCGCTTGACTATGGAGAGACAGGGTTCATCGGGGATGTCGAAGAAGTCATCCTCCGAGGCATTGGAGCTACGTCGGTAGGGGAAGGCGGGTTTATTGGGCGGCATCGTTGGAGGGTGAAGCTATCGACGGTGCGGTGGGGATTGGGATAAATGCACGTGATGGTTATGTCATCGGTGACATGAATCCACTTTTGGATTTGATATTTGAAGAAAGAAGGTTACAGGCTTTGGAATTGTGTATTCGAAGTTGCGGGCCTTTCTTTAGGGTCGGAGCGACTGTGGAAAATCGCATGTCTTCCAAGATTGAAGCACCTACAATGCTATAAGACGGAGCTCTTAAAGCGAAAAGCCTCATACAACTCAAAGTGAAGTACCTCCGCTAACATTTACATAGTAAAGATACAAAAATAGCTTCCCTGGGAATCGACCAGAACCCTTTCCGGAACTTGCTAATCGCATTCGTTAACGGAAAATCATAACCCCTAGAACAGGAAACTGGAGATGTGAAATGGATGAAAAACAGATGGATGAAGGTTCTAATGTTCGGCCCAGTGCACGGCCCGACTGCTAGACTCCTAGCGGGATTTGGCTGCATACATATATGTACATATAGGTTGAATGCAAATGTTTGATTTTAGGTACCTTTTCTATGGGATACACATACAGGTACTTCAAACCCAGCATCATTTGAACTATATATCTCGATCATATCATTCAACTACCTACATACATGTAGGTAGAGGAAGGTGAATTAATATCAAGAACTAGTCTACTGACTTCGTTTTTATCTCTAGAATATTTGTGTTATTATCCGACAATAGAAGATTCAAGAACCACTAGTAGTATGGTACAAAATTCTTCTAAAAACATTTTCTCGTAGGCCAGACTGCAGATGACTTATTTGGACTTAATTTGGATAATACTATGATATTCGGGCTGTCACCTCGACACTATGTCTATTTGATACAAAAATAGTGACGTGGTCGACATATATGGGCAAGGCTACAACTGTGCGTGTGCCATAAAAAAGGGACCAAAAATCAAATATTTGCCTACTATGTGTATGTATGCAGCCAACTCCCCCGGGGGCCGCTAGGAGGCGGGCCGTGCATTGGGCCGAATACCTTTCGGATAAAAAACGAAAATCTATAACCAAATAGTTTCCCTGGGAATCGAACCCAGAACCTTTCCGGAACATCTGCTAATTGCATTTGTTAACGGAAAATCATAACCGCTAGACCAGGAAACTGCTCGACCACTTGGGCCAATTGGTGAATGGGCGAGCCAATAATATAATATTCGCAATACACTTTGTCTCCAAATCCATGTATATCGGTGGCATTCTTCTTAACTACTCTATCACACCTCTTCCCTGTCAAATTAAGCCATCGAGTCATCTGGATTGATTGGGGAGCTTTACATACATCGAGTTAGTTTCTGAGCATCACTCATGGGTGGTCCACACTATATAGAGCATAAAGGGTAGTTAGGTAGTAGCCGCCACATCCAACCTTCGCCTTTTCCTAAGATTGCTGGATAATAAAAAGGACAGAGTCAATGGCTCATTTGCTCCCTTAACACCAAATATTGCTACATTTACCATAGAATGCATAAATCCTACCAGTGGGCCAAATCAAGTATGGGTCTCCCTATATCATAACATTGTACTGCTTTGTCCATAATATCATACCTCCTAAATGATCAGTCAAATCCGTACTATATACCAGATCTTATATACTGTAAATCAATGAAAGCTCGTAGAATGAGATTCACCTCCGTCAGGTAACAACCTCGTCCCACCCGAAGAAATCGACCTCCCATCATCGACCTGAACAACAATATCCGTCTTAACAGTAACATGCCCGCCGTCAATATGCTCCGGCATCAACGCCTTCGAAACCTGACTCATTGAGCGCTCATGCCCATGTCCATGCCTACCTGGCGGATTCTCCTCATCGTGAGTACAAGTAATGGTCATGTTAGTCACTGTAGCCGAATCCAGCCACTGCTCCTTTGCATTGGCGCGGCGTTTCAGCTCTGTTTCAGGCTCACTATGGTCCGTTGACCGGGAGCGAGACCAGTAGCCGTGAGTGCGACCTCCGCGTTTGTGGTCGACGAAGGAGCGGAGGAAGAGGCGGGCTACTGGGGCGCAGGAGGCGAGAAGGATGCTGTAGTTTTCGATTCTGGGGCTGTTAGCTAATTATTTTATACCTGGGGTTGGTAGATCGTGACTGGCTTACTTTACCCAGAGAATGAAGGTCACGATGTTATAGGTGAAGTCCTGTCTGTCGCCGAGGGATTTGAGTTTCTGGTTAATGATATTAGCGCTGCTGTATAGGCTGAGGAACGACAATCTACCCACATAGGTCTTTACGATAGAAGCAGAACCGGAGAGGAGCAGTGGTCCGCTGAGAGTGATGGTCTGCCAGATCCGGCGGGATCGGATGGTGGCACTAATTTTGCGGAATTGAGACCAGAATGAGGTGTTTGGATTTCGGTGGAGGGTCCGCAAGAAGAATTGCCAAAGTTCGATGGCAGCGAGCACGGCGAGGAAGAAATCGATGACGGTGTTAAACCCTGTGGGAATTGCAATTAGCTTTGAGCTGAGCTGAAGTATGACAATTTCACATACCCCCCTGCACAAACCCAACAGTAGTTTGGACAGTCGGTAATTGGCACTTGATGGAGCCATCTTCAGGGAGTGGTGTCCACATGTAGTGGAAGTATTGTACCCAATTAGTCTGCGATGAAATCAGAATGGGTCAAGAACTAATAAGGAGGATACCAACCGTCTGATACGGGTTTGGTCCGCACTGAACAATAATCTGGACTATTGTAACCATATTGACGACAACCTGGACAACAGCACAAATAATGATAGATTGGCGAATCTACTTGTCGCTCGCCGCAAAACAGCTCAAAAGAAACCACATCATGCCTGCACGTGAGACCATCGCCGAAGTGACAGCCAGCGGCTGTGAAATGAAGTCCCATTTCATAGAATGGAGACGCTCTTCAGCAGTTAAGTAGGAGAAATGCCTCCCGAGGCCACAATTGGCACTACACAGAGTTAGTGGCTGGAATAGGCAATGTCAACAGTCAATCTCACCTCATTTGAATAAATATCATATGAGTAATATCAAAACCCCAAGCCACAAGGAAGAACAAGTCCTCTGTGCCCCAGATTCGGCTAGGTGCAGTGACCTGAGGCAAAGCCCAGCGCACCCAGACCTTGATGGCATAGCGGAACAACAATGCAAGGCCGACAATGGCTGTGAGGACCTGCTCGAGAGTCAGTATACACATATGCAAAGGAAATCCATAGCCGAGGATAACACACCCAGCAAGCCTCAAATGTGCCAGTTCCTTTTAAATATGTCAATCCGCAATATCCTAGGTCGGTTTTCTTGGCCTTTGCACTGAGGTAAACATACCGATGTTAATATCGCCCTCACCAGGGTTCGGAATATCCATAATGAAGATAGAAACAAGGACCGATGTGTCAAGCAGCCAACTATTTACCAGATTCTCGATTATAGTGCGGGGAGCCAATTCAAATAGCCATTGACATGGGATTCGAGACAAGAACGATGCGCGGGGTCGATAAGATGAATCAGAAGCCAAATCCAACCCAGGACTAAGAACACTACAGCAAAGTTTCCCAGGTGCTGTTGAAGGTTCTCCGAAATGGGGATCACGCTAAGAACTCTCGCGCGAACCGACTTACAGGTCAGAAACTTGCCTAGACTCGGCTTTTATCAGGTGGAAGGGCGCGTATACGTAGTAAAAGTGAATTGGGAGGAAACAAGGGATGTAATGTAAATCAAGGGATTCACACAGAAAACATAATCAGGCCAAGCAAAGCGAGTTGTCGATGTATTGAGTATATAGCGGAGTAGCCAACCCTCATGTACGTCAACTTCTGACGGGAGTCAAGCTCGCGTGGCCCTTTAGGAAATGCGAACTCTTGATCGTGGAAATGGACAGGTTCGCATGGCCAGGACCATATGGATTGATCACAGACATTCCTGGAGGAGGGGGATAGAAACCATGTAGTGGCCATGCGACGTGTAAGCAAGGGATGTGATGGGGAATGGGAAAAAGGAAATACGTCAAATTACGTACATACCCATGTGGAATTTTGATCGATATACTGTTAGATCGGATCTGCAAAGATCTAGATATGAATTCGAGAGATAAAAGACTATAAGCTTTGGGGTAAGTGAAGCTCTCGAAGGGATGTGATGAGTATACATTAACAGAAATGATATATCATATAAACAATGAACCGTCGACAACAAATGAATTGAGAAAATTAATTAATTCTATCTAGGGATTAAACCCTGACCTATTCTCTCCTCCTCATCTCCACCAATGACTCTCCAGCCCTAACATAAACCTCAAAAGTCACCTTCAGCCCACACAAACCCGCCATCTGCCTCCACTCCGCCGAACTCCTCTCTCAGCCCCCAAACAACGCAATCATACTCGCATGGAGCGAAGTATAAGTCAGATTCTTGGCATATTCTATAATCAACACGCGCGAACCAGGTGCCATAGCACGCGAAATCTTCTGCAACAACGCTACAGTATCCAAGTCAGGCAAGTTATGCAGGATATGCTGTAGCGCGTAAACACAGGCACCGCGGACAGGCTGCTCAGCCGCCTCCTTGTAATTCCACTCCATAAGCCGCACACCAGGCACGCTATCGATATCAGCATTGAATTCCTGCACGATTAGATCTTCCGGGCCGAGATGCGGGTATACAGCCTGGACCTCGAGGAGGAGTTCACCACGACCGCCGCCAATGTCGACCATGGTAGCGGAGCCGGTGCGCGCACCCGTGGTAGTGTCACCCGCCAACGCGCCATCTAAATCATAACCCATCGACTTGATGCGCTCGGGAAATGTTCCGAACTTTAGGAACTTGCCGACCATGAAACGATTGAAACTATCCATGCGACCCTGGGTCTCCATAATCGAGTACGTATGCTGCTTCGCCAGCTCGGTCTGACCCATTAGCCGATAGGCGTATTGCAAGGGCAAAGGGGTATGCAAAGCGGGTGTCCTGGAGCCTTTTCATCAAGAATGCGCCGGCCATTAGCCCTTCCGTGGTGCTGGATGGGGTTAGTGCGTGTCTGGAAGATTCTATAGTTTCTGTTATAGAAACGGGCGTGCATGGGGGGAACTGACAAGTGCAGTGCGCCATGCTGGGCAGACGGCATGGAAACCATGTGGTTCGTAATGGCGTTTGCTGTGAAGCAGTCCTCGGCCACGCGTTCGACTAGGCCGAGTCCAGCCATGATGTAGAGTGTGTCCGCTGCGGAAAGGCATTAGTGTTGGTATACTGCTTGTACCTGCATGCCTGTACACTGGTGTGCTTACAGGCTAATCTGGTACCTATATTCATCGTCAGCGTAAGTGCCATCAGCCTTACAAACCCAGACACGTACTCAGTTCAGGCTCATTCCCCCCTCGGGCTTTGATACGTGCATTGCAGGTCGCCGAGACTTCATCGGCAGTCGCAGGTCCGCCATGACTCACAAGGATATTGAAGAGACCAAAGTGAATCGCGACCGGGACGAATCCTAAAGATGCAGGCTGTGAATGAATTAGATATAAGACTTGCCTGACTGGTTCGTCTTACTCACTACTGTGACGGTTGCTGCGAGGGCAGCGCCTGGGGGTGCAGCTGGGGCTGGGGATGACAGGCCCAGGAGACTGGCTAGGCGGGTTAGGACAGACATTGAGATTAGATGAGGTGTTTCAGTATGAGGATGATAGGGACATATACTCTGAATTACACCCTCTAAATATCTACATGTACACAACAGACGGTGGGATCCGGCACGAATTCCGGTACAAGTATACTAGGTAACTAGATATTTAATTCAGGATGTCTGAACACTAGCATATTACAATACAAAGGTCCCAAGACTATTCTTAGCATGGGGTTATTGTGCTCCGTGGAAGATCATTGGTCTAATGTGGCGAGGTATGCGCAAGGGATATCATATCATGTCAAGACACGGCAATACGATGGAAGGAAGTACATAGAGAGTACGGAGTACTCCGTAAAGCTGAGAAAAATAAATCAGTAAATAGAAGAGCCCAATAGCGAATTACCCGAAGGCGAAGGATCTACTTCGTACTAGCCCCCGATCTACCTTTGTGATACATCCACTATACATTCCGGAGACTTTCAACATATCCAAATCGGAATTATGATATCTGATCTCTCTTAATTTCAAAGAACTGGTTTCTAGAATCTCCCTGTGCAACAAAAACCACGCGAGAATGGATCTCTCATGTGTATTCAAAAAACCGGCCGTGCATAAAACCTACAGTGTCCCATTACAGGAAAAGACCCTTCATTTACCTCCTTACCTGACCAGATCCTCTGTTTCAGGGTTGGCTCTTACATTTTAGAAAAGGGTAAACATATCTATCTGAAAAGGGTAAACATATCTATCTACCATGGAGAAACCCTCCCCCGTCTACTTTACGCACGAGATGGCAGCCAGTGCGTCATCATCGATTGGGACACACGAGCTGAAGGAATGTGATAATGATTCGGATGTTGAGGCCACCAGGAATCCCTTGAATCCGAGAAACTGGTCCTCGGCGCGGAAGACGATGCTCTTTGTGTCGCTGATGACGAGCTCGTTGTTAGCTGATGGGTATGTATTGCCGATGGCGAAACCTATCGCGATTGCCAGTTTAGATGTGTATGTATGCATAGATGGTTTATCTGACTGAATCTTTTGCAGGGCCATGGTCTGGGGTGAAACGCTGGTCACGGAACAGGCTATGGATTGGGATATTACCATCACTCAATCGGCTACGAGTTTGAATTATGGTATTCTGCTGCAGGGGTTTGGGGGGATTTTTGCTGTTCCGCTCATTGAAGCGTATGGTCGGTGAGTTGGCAGTCGGTTCTCTTTTCGCCTGCGTTGGGATATAACACTGACAGCTGCACGCAGCTTGCCGATCTGGCTATGGCCTCAGGTGATCACCATGTTCATGGTGCTGGGTGCTACCCTTTCCAATGATTGGTCTACCTTCACGACGTTCCGCTCTTTGCAGGGTCTGTTTGGGACAGTGCCTCAAGTAATTGGGCTTCCGATCATTCATGATATGTATACTTCGGCTGGTAAGCCATTTCTCTAGATTGTCTCGAGTACTTTATGCTGATCCGACAACAGAATGGCCGCGGATGATCAACATTTGGTAGGGGACTTGCCACTCAAGTCTAACCAGAGCAGCACTGACTGAGCATAGGGGCACCACCTTCCTCATCGGACCATTCCTCGGCCCCGCGATAGCAGGATACATCGGCACCGGGTCCGACTGGCGCACCTGTTTCGGAGTCCTGACAGCCATCTATGGCGTGTCCACGGCCATGGTGATCCTCTTTGGCTATGAAACATATCATGAGCCTGGACGAACGACCAACCAGTCCCGCCTCGCGTCTTATTTTGGCATTGGCAATACCCTGCTTCCCAAGGGATCGACGTTGAGATATTGGAGTCAAACAGTCATGGTCTATGTGTTCAAGTTTCCGCTGTTGATGACCGGTGTGTATAGCCGATTTAGCTTGCAATGGCATTCACTGATCAGGATTTTGTCAACAGGCATTGCGATATTGGTAACATTTACCTGGCCAATTGGTAAGTAACCATCATCGCACCGTTCTTTCACCCGCTGACCCTCCAGGAATTACAACCACCATCGATACCTTCCTGCACAGCCCTCCATACTTGTTTGATATGATCGGGGCATCATCGATGCGATTCGCCGGTGTGATTGGAGCTTTATGTGGTATGCACCCTAACAACCCTCCTATCTGTCCAGATTCTCACCATTTTTCCAGGCTGGGCATTTGGCCACTTCTTCAACGGCTGGATCTTCAAGCGCCATAGCTCAACCTGGCAAACCGAGCTCCGCCTCCACGGTGTCTGGTTGCCGATAGGTAGTATGGCAAGCGGCCTCCTCACCTACGGACTAACCATGCACTTCGGCAAGCACTGGATTGGGATAGCCATTGGGTGGATCATGGTGAACATCGGCATGGTAGCCACAACTGTGTAAGTCGCAGCTTCGTTCTGTTGAATTGTGTGGTATCTCTAACATCACTTGCACAGTGCTATCTCGGCCTACGCGTTGGAGAAATACCCGGAGCAGGCGACTTGTGTCTCAGCCATTCTGAATATGTGGCGCACCTGCGGCGGATTCGCAGTGGGATACTTCCAGCCTGCGTGGATCCAGCGCAATGGGTTCGGACTGGTCTTTGGTATTCAGGCTGCTATTGTGTGTGTGGCCGTTGCTTTGACTATCACTCCTGTGATTTTGTGGGAGCGGGAAAGGCGGTTGAGAGTTGGAACTGAAGTTGAAGTTGAAGCTTGAATTGTGCAGATAACTGTATATGTGTGACGTTCGAGTTGTATTTATTTGACATCTTGTATGTTGTACCCTGATGGAACATGAGTTGATCAACCTCAGGACCCCTAAAAAAACAGGACCTTCGTCAGTCCCAATTTGGTCTGTGCTCAAACACTGAAACACACATGATTCATGCCACATTTCTCAGGCAAAAATCAGGCCACAATCCGGTTGCCGATCCGAACACGTCCGTGTTGACGCACCCCCTGTTTCATGCTTAATTGGTTTAACGCCATGCCTGACTTCTCTACTCCGTAGTATAGAATAATTGACATCAATCTCAAACTTGCTACATGAAATACCCCTGATCTTCACCTCCTGAACCTTCCCCCACTAACCAACACTCTACGCAGTCGATCATTGCCTCGCTATGCAAAGTCCCACAAGCGATGACGCTTCCCGTGGGGCAGCAGTCTGAAAGACGCCACAACCTAGTTGGCTCGTGTGCCGCGTGGTTGCAGATCAGTCCCTGAACCTGTCGCTTGGCCTATCATGGCTCCTCCGTTCATCCCGTTCAGAGGTTCGACCGAGTCATTTCTGCCCGCCTATGGATTGTCCACTATTAACGCCCGAGGCAGTGTCGAACTGGTTTGGCTCAGGGACAGCGATCACTGACCCTTTTTTGCTCTATTGCTTGCTATGAAGCATTTATTATCCTTTCAGTTTCTTACCCTCCTTACTTTCGTTAGCTAAATGGCATCGATTCCTGTTTGATTCTCTTTTAGATTGTCTCTGAGCGCCAACCCGACTATGTCAAGTTCTCCGCGACGATGGCTCTTCGTGGTCTTTCCGATCCTTACATTTTGCTTCATATACTATCTCTTTCGACTGCCTGAATCCAATCCGACAATCCTGAACAACTCAGAACAGATTGCTCAAGCCGGAGGGGAAACAATTGTGGTGGGGGGGCAGAAGCAGGAGACCAGACCTCCTCCCTCTCCCAAAGACGAGACACTGGAGGAAAAATGCGGCCACTTACTGCACGCACTCGACGATGTCATGGTCGTAATCAAAACTGGCGCCACTGAATCCCTTGAAAAAATCCCCGTCCACCTCCGCACCACGCTGCAATGCGTCCCACACTTCGCCATCTTCTCCGACTACGAAGAAACAATCGACGGTGTTCGCACCTATGACGTCCTCCGCAACATTAGCGAGGCAACTATGAATAAAGAACCCGAATTCGACATCTATCGCCGCCTACAAGAAGTCGGCCGCGAAGGCCTAACAGACGCAGAATGGGGCGACGACACAAACGGCCCACTAGGCAAAGTCAACAACCCAGGCTGGAAGCTCGACAAATGGAAATTCCTCCCAATGATCGACGAAGCACTAGAAGTCATGCCTGAAGCCAAGTGGTACGTCTTCCTCGAAGCCGACACCTACATGGTGTGGCCGAACCTGATCAGCTGGCTGGCACACCTCGACCCAGATCGGCAATACTACCTGGGAAGCCCAATGCAAATCGGTGAGACACTCTTTGGCTACGGCGGGGCGGGCATCGTCCTTTCAAGCTGGACGATGAACCTCCTGCACGAGTACCAGATAGAGACAAAGGAAGACCTCGAAGCGATGACCGCACACGAGTGGGCAGGCGACTGCGCGCTGGCGCGAGCGCTGCAGGACGTGCACGTGGATCTGACCTGGGCCTGGCCGATGATGATGACATCACGGCCGTGGGAAATCGACCATTTCTCTGAGGGATACGGGCGACAGCCGTGGTGTTACCCTGTCATCTCGTACCACCACATGGCGCCGAAAGATATCGAGAATATGTGGGAGTTTGACCGGGCGTTCTTTGCTAGTGGGAAGAACGCGCTCATGCTGCATGCGGACGTTTACCAAAAACTTATCTACGATGGGACTTTCTCGGCACGCGACGACTGGGATAACCTCTCTGGGATCCAGATTGATTTTGCCGCTGGCACGATCCCTACGGTGGATGTTTGTGCGGAGGTCTGTGTACGCAATGATGAGTGCTTGCAGTATTCGTTCAACCACGCTGACGGTGTTTGTAAACATGCTTCTACTACCTTTGCGGGTGTTGCTGCCAATGGTACGCAGTCTGGTTGGATTACACCCCGTGTGAACAAGCTGCTCAGGGCATTCCAGTCTTCATGCCATGAGGTGCAATATATCTTCGGTTGATTTTTCTTTCGCTCTTCAGCAATTTTCCTTCCCTTGGACTGTTCTTGTACATATATCAACTTTTCTTTATTTCTTCCCTCTTCTTACTCGATTTTGCATCCAGTCTCACGTCTGAGGACAAGCTGGTTCCGTGATTTCAAAGGAGTCATTGGCAGGCGTTTTGCTATGGTGCTGTGTTGGCATCGTCTGCCGGGCAGACGAAAACACATTTCTGGTCGCTGGACCGTTCTCATTTCGTTTCCTGTTTACGTTACATCTACTGATCATTTCTAGTGGTACCAATTTTCAATCATATCAAATCAATATAAAACCCTTTCATTTACAGGTGCGGGTTTGGAGATGTCTGTAATTTGGATGAAACTCCGATCCATTTTATGGTGTCTGATCTATATTACGGTCATATGAATCAGTCTGGGTAGTTTACAAGAAAAAAACTCGTATTGGGCTCGGAAATAGAATCTACCCAAGCTCGTGAAGGTCTCAAGAGACAGCCATCGGCCGATGTTCACGATTCCATAGGGACGCGCAAATTACCTGAGGAAGATGTAAAGCTCCATCAATTTCCCGGAATACTTTTCCTGAAGCATCATTTCGGACGTCAGTTCAAATGATTCATAGCCAGCTGATCTATCAATGCTTGTTAGATGTAAGATGCCTGTAATATAGCTTACTGGGCGAAGTTGTCCCCTCGAATGGTGGCATCCCTGCGGATTGAATCTTCTTCAGCAGGTTCCAATCGATCACTAATCATCAGGTATTTAGGCGCATCGTTGTGTGTCGTACGTGTGTGGCTTGTCGAGCAAGTCTCTGGCACTCATCCCGGAAGATTGCTAGGAGAGCAGATCCGACGAAAAGGTGATATCCATATAGACTACATCCAATTGAGTCTGCTCCCTCGTATTGAGGCTGCGTCATGTTGTATTTGTTTTTTGCTCAGCCGCAAGTATTGATGGTGGTGGTCTACAACTTGACCAACCAGGGACTTGGCTGGACTCCATGCATGCTGCAGTGTTTCAGTCAGATTTGCACACTTCAGGCTATGTAAAGAGATATGGATAATTCTGCAAAGATATAATATAAGACATACGTTCTCCCGCTATGGATTTTTCGTTTAACATCCACATGTCATAGTATATCCGATATCTCTCTATCAGGCCAATATGAAGTTCACTGTCTTCTGCCATCTTCTGGCTGCCGGGGCAGCCCTCGCCGTCCCCATCGTCGAGCGAGACAACTCTATTCAGATCAGTGATTTCTGGGCCCGAGCTAGCGCTGGCTCCTCCGCTACGATGCATTTCGTCGCGACTGATCTAAACTACCCCGACGACACCCCTACGGACTGCAACCTAATCTGGTGAGCTCGATTTGTTGAAAAAGGGCCCTGGCAATAGCAAACGCTAACAAATACTGTTTGATGTCAGGTCATATGGATCTTCACCCAAGGAAAGTGCCCGATGCGACAACAGTCAATACTACATCCGCTTCCCCGATGGTGCCGTGGACTTTAACTGGTTTACGCTTGAACTTTTGAGAGTCTCAGGCCCGATTGCTGAGAACGGTCATGTCTTGCTAAGCTCTGGTACACAGTGGTCTTGTGTGGACAATCCGGAAAGCGGTGTTCATCTGAGCTGCTCTTATGATGGTGTTCTCAGCATGCCCGTGTGAGGATATGAGATCAACTAGCATTTAAATCTCGTACAACCTCAAACGGAGGTCTGTCTATATTCTATATCGGTAGATCTATGTGCAATTCATAAATAGCTTCATCCTCGGTATTATATACCCGTATGTCTCCAGGTGATCTCATGAGTTGTATGTAGTCCCTGTGTCGTGTCCCAAAGACCTGATGTCAGGTGACTCCCTCAGACAGAAGAGGAAGGCACGACCCAGCCCTGGGGGGTCCTTCCCAATTAGGAAGGGTCACTCGTCGCCAATCCCAGTTTCCCCAGAGCCTTCAGCCACTGGGAAGGTATAAATACCCCCTTCCACCATCTACCATGACCTACCTCCACGTGGCCTCCCTCCATGACCTTTCTTCGTGACAACCTTCTTTGATAACCATATGGATCGTGGCACCCTTTCACCATAACATCCTTCGATCATGGCCTTGACGACCCTCAACAACCATGGCACCCTTTCATCATGACAGTGTGATAACCTTCTGTGACAACAATATGGACAGTGACAAGCTCCCATCATGGCCTTCGATACCAACTTTCGGTCATAACAACCTTCCCTCATGGACATTCCATCATGGCTTTGACAACCTTCAACAAGCATGCAACATTTCATCGTGGCAGCCTTGCATCCAGACAACTTTGCACTATAACTATTTCTTGAGATATTCATTCAATGCATTCTACAAAGATGAACTTGCTGACTCTTTCCTAGGGACCCTCATACCTCCCAAACCCTATCCCTCCCCTCCCCACTGACCGGTAACGGTCCGGTGGAGGGCCATTCTTCGACCGCCTACACGTCCTGAGTCGGGATATGTAGGAAATATTGAATAACTATAGGATCATCGTTCGGGCTATAGAGAAAAACACAATCCTCCCCCGTGCAAATGTAGCCGTGTTGAACTCCACTATTGATCATGTATGAGAATATCTGAGTGACCACTACGGCGACGAGGCAGGTGGTATAATTCTCAAACGTGTCGCCTTCCTAATCGATGACATCGTGAGCCAGATCTCTCTGGTGTAGACCAGCCACCCAATCAGGGATTGTCACCTAGTGTGCGCTTTGAACTCCACTACATACACCGGTTCTCCAGCAAGGTTTCCGCTGGGTTCGCGCGGTCATAGAAGGCGACT